GCGTTGCGACGCGACAGGATACGAGCACGGCCAAAACCAACACACACGCAGACACCCACCCACACAAACAAACAAACAAACAAACAAACGTAAAAGCATATAAAGCGAGACAGAAATCGAGTGACGGGCCGGGCCGGGCAGTTCAAAGCCATGGCCGGGAGCCAGAATCCAGAAGCGGGTTTGTGCGTCTGTGTTTGTGTCTGCGTTTGTGTCTGCAACACCGGTAATTACCGCCACGTGACAATGGAAATTACCAGCAAACACCGCAGGCAGCCACTACGACTACGTATTCGTTTCGTATCCTTTAAAGCCCTGGCCCTGGTCGGCCAGCATCAAATATTTAAGCGTCATCAGCATGCCCGAGAGCAGTCGAGAGGGGCCCCATATTGAGTGTCAAAAGCCATTGCTCTAAAAGATCTACGGCCTGCGCCTAAATGACCCGACTCGACCCAAGTCGAGTCCACTTTATGTAAGTCACAGTCACAGAGCAAAGACAAGGGGAACAAGAAGAACGAGAAGGCAAGTCAGGCAAAGGACATGGCTTGGGAGGATGATGACACAGGAGACGGGAAGCGGAAGCGGGCCCATGTCCAATGCAAACTGAGAAAAGCTCACAGTTTTAGCTGCAGTTCTGTGTGGCAGGGATGCACACACACTTTTCCCAATCGTCCCAAAATGGTGTTTATCCTTTTCTTCAAGGATTTCCCAACTGTCACTGGTACTACTCTGCTCCAAATTGCTTTGCATCCCTGGCTGCAACTTGTCGCCTGCCACGCCCATTCCCAAGCCATCAGTAGAGCTCGTAAATAAATCAATGAGCAGTTTTGTATTATATCCTGCGCCTTCGAGTCACTGCCAGAACAAGGCGGCAGCCAGCAGGCAAAACAGGAGGAGTTGATGTTTTTTTTTTTGTTGGTCCAGTGCCTCCTTGTCCCCGTCCTGGTCCTGGTCATGGTCGTGGTCCTGGCCAGCGCATAAATTTGTGAGACTTGGCTTGGACTCTCTCGCTCCAAGGGGGAGTGGGGGGGGGGGGCTCTCCTTCGGCTCGTCACTGCTGACGTATGTTTAGCTTGAGTGGATTTTATTGTGACAGCGTCAGGATTTACTAGAGACAGCAACTGGAGCTGGCAGTCAGTAATGAGAAACACAAGACTGCCCGCCTTCACTGGGGGCTGGGCCCTGGTGGCTGTCGACTGTGGACTGGCGCTGGGGCTGGGGCTGGGGACTGTGCATGGTTTAGTGCCCGGTCATTGGGCTTTCGTTTGTTTTATGCACTCGCCCGTAATTAATTTGCGCAATTTTTGTGTACTTGTCTAAAATTTATTGACTGCATTCGAACGTTGCGCATACGACATGTATCCCGAAGGGATACTGCCAGCGTGGGGGGGGCAGACAGCGCTGGGTGGAGGTGCCACAAAATCAATGCTAATATATGCAAATTTTTATTTCCGCGACAATTTCAATTTAACGACAAAGGAGACGGCGACGACGACAGCCAGCCATTTTCTATTAGCGGTTGCTTTCCCTTCGGTATTTTTTTGTTTCCTTTGTTTCTTTGCCGAGAATTACTCTCAGATGTGCCGTTAACACCGACCCACCAACCTGCCGCTCCACCGAATGCGCCCCCGAGGTCTGGCAGCGAGCAGGGTGGCACTTGGGGAGGGAAATGGCTTTCCGAAAAATGGAAATCTGTAAGCAAAGTTTCGTCTTGGTGGAGGCCACGCATTGAGCCATTCAAAGGATCATTATGCGTGTGCCCGCGTTATGGGGCCTCAAAGTGTCGTTGGCGGTGGATTGGCTCCTGAAGGTGGATGTGTGGCTCAGGGGGATACGGATTCGGATTCAGAGGAAAATGGTAACTTTTAATGTATGAAGACTGCATGTAAAGATGCTATATACTGAGAGCTATAATCTACGTTCCAGCCACAATCCAATTCGGCGACTTCTTCCACTTGCCCACAAATTGTCAACTGCCAAGAGCGTGTTTCAGCGCAGAATTGTCGGATTAATTGTCACAACTAAATATTGTACGCATTTGTACAATTGAATTATTTATTATTTATTGACAGTTCCTTGAGAGACGTAAGCCAGCGGAAAGTCCTGCCCAACTCGGTCTCAGCTTAAGCTTCACGGCGTATGCACAAGCCGGGAAAACTCTCCTTCTCCTACTCGCCCCATCCGGGGCCCCGGCTCCAGCGTGACCCAGCTCTAAGATTTATAGCAGCGGACTGGAGGAGGGAAAACTCATGGGAAAATAACTTTAGCGGAAAAGTGCCGACAAAATACAAGAAAATGCTTAACCAACAGAACCAGCGCGGCAAGCAGAAGGCACAGGACAGAGACCAGAACACACTTAGTGGATCCTTGCCACCCGAATAGTGGGTCCGGGTCCGGGTCTGGGGCCCTAGAAGTGGCTCTGCCTTCGAGCCAGAAACTTCATGAATTTAATTACCGAATTTTTTCGCTGTAATTACGAAATTCTTTTGGCTGAAAGTGGAATTTTCATTTCATTTTCATTAAAATATTTCTGCTTGTAAGTGTTTACAAAATATGTGCGCTCTTGGCTAGGGCTAGGCACACATCCTGGCCATGCCCACACGCCCACACTTTCTGCAGATACACGGATGGATGCATGTGGCATATAAGTAAACCCATCTTTGGTGAGTGTGAGTGTGAGGTGTGCCTTGGAGTTGATGCAATTATTCAGTTATTGACCCACAAAACCACAAAATGTCGGCAGAGGCACAGACACGCAACGCACACTTCCGGAAGCACTTCGGAGGCATTGGGTTGCCTGTTTGCCGGCTTGTGCATTTGCATTGTCTTCACCTGTGCATTATTAACTTGACCACGCTAAGCTCATAATGAGGGGCTTATTGCTAATTTCTTATTGCTCACTGGAGTTTGGGGCTGCCCTCAAATGTGTGGCTGTTTATCTACAGAGGAACATGGGACATGGAAGAGGCTTTCTCTGCGTGTATGTTTGTGCTGTGTTTCTGGGCCATAGTTCCTGAAGTTTCATTTCACTAAATATTCTGAAGATGTTCCTCCGTTTCAAATTTAACGGTCGTTTCTGCGACTAGCGGGTTAACTTGGAACTACCAGTACGCCACCTAGCGAATAAATATAGTATCACTTAAAACAGCTGATTTATCGAATAGTCGACTTGATTTGGCCCATCTCTAACCTCCGCTTGCATAATTTTCAAAACAAAAAAGAAATTTTTAAAAATTTCACGATGAGACTGCGCTGCCAGGCGATATACCGCCATGTGCGACATGCCTCTGTCTCAGCCAGCGCCGCAGCAAATCCTGCACCTGCCACTGGAGCGAAGGTAGCCGCAGAAACCAAGTTGGAACCGGCGACAGCACGTGTAACGTTTTTGGAGAAAATTCAACGCGGACCCGGTCTTCAAGACTTTTTCACAGTAAAACCCGCGTCCAAGCTGAAACTGAGCGAAGCGGCGGAACTGGATGGAGTGGAAACCAGCGTTCCGTATTTGAACGCCATCGATTTCCAGGGTCATGGGCGGAAAGTTCACTTCGAGGTCTATGGCTGCCAGATGAACACCAACGACACCGAGGTGGTGTGGAGCATACTGAAGCAGCATGGCTATGAGCGCTGCCAGGAGGTGGAAGATGCCGATCTTGTTATGCTGGTCACCTGTGCCGTGCGCGAGGGAGCAGAGCAAAAGATCTGGAATCGCCTGCGACATCTGCGGGCCATGAAGCAGAAGCGAGGCGCCAAGCGGCAGCCACTGCAACTGACGCTCTTGGGCTGCATGGCGGAGCGCTTGAAGGAGCGGCTGCTGGACCAGGAGCAGTGCGTGGATGTCATTGCGGGGCCGGACAGCTACAAGGATCTGCCCAGGCTGCTGGCCGTTTCGCGGCATTACGGTAATTCCGCCATCAATGTACTCCTTTCGCTGGATGAAACCTACGCTGATGTGATGCCAGTCCGACTGAATTCCGACTCTCCCACGGCCTTTGTCTCCATTATGCGGGGCTGCGACAACATGTGCACCTACTGCATTGTGCCCTTCACCCGTGGCCGGGAGCGCTCGCGACCACTGGCATCCATTGTCAATGAGGTGCAAGCCTTGCAGGAGCAGGGCGTCAAGGAGGTGACTCTTTTGGGTCAGAACGTCAACTCGTATAGAGACAAAGGAGCTGGACAGACGTCTGATACGAGCCTAGTGCCGGGTTTCAAAACCGTTTACAAGCCCAAAACGGGAGGAATTCCCTTCTCCGAGCTTCTGCAGAGCGTGGCCGAGGCTGTGCCCGAGATGCGCATACGATTCACCTCCCCCCATCCTAAGGACTTCTCCGACGAGGTGCTGCGTGTCATTCGGGACTATCCGAACGTCTGCAAGCAGCTCCATTTGCCAGCACAGTCGGGCAACACGGAGGTTTTGGCCAGGATGCGACGTGGCTACACGCGAGAGGCGTACTTGGAGTTGGTGGAGCATATACGAGAGATACTGCCAACTGTGGGTCTGTCCAGTGACTTTATCTGTGGCTTCTGTGGCGAAACGGAGGCGGAGTTCGAGGACACCATCTCGCTCATCAACAGAGTGCAATATAACGTGGCCTATCTGTTTGCCTACAGCATGCGGGAGAAGACCACGGCGCATCGGCGCTATGTGGATGATGTTCCTGTGGCTGTCAAAACGGCCCGGCTGCAGCGCATGGTTCAGGCCTTCCGAGAGGGTGCAACGCAACTCCACAAAAACTTTGAGGGCAAGCAGCAGCTTATTCTGATCGAGGGTAAGAGCAAACGCTCAGACGCCCATTGGTTTGGCCGCAACGATGCCAACATCAAGGTGATTGTTCCTGCTATGGACCTGCCCACAGATACGGGAGACACTGCACGAAGAAGGTCCATAGCAGTTGGCGACTTTGTGGTGGCACAAATAGACGAATCCAACTCCCAGGTCCTGAAGGGAACTCCCTTGGAAATCAGCAGCATAGGCAGCTTTAACAGCAGAACGAGTTTAGGGCTTACATAAAATAAAAACGAGCGTTAATCGAACCTAACTTTTAATCGCCTACAATTACGTTTCCATTTGCTCTTCGCTGGTCTTTGTATCGGACCTTCTGCAATGATAATTTGAAATGCTGGTGCGATAGAACTGCAAGATTTCCGCACTGGCCGATCGGCACAGACTCTCCACATCGTTGAATTCGGCTATTTTAAAGGATCCTTTTGTCTGCACCAGCAGCAGATTTCCCTCCAGCGAGTCGAAAGCGAAGGTGAAACTGGCTCGCTCATGCTCCGTTTCTCTTTGGTCCGGGTCTAGAATATACTCTCCCTGTTCATTGATAATGCAGTGGACTGCCGCAAAACTGCATTTCAGGGGCAGGCCACCAATGAGCATCGCCAGGCAAGCGGAGTTCAGGGCACAGGCATCGATCTGCAAAGGAATGAAGTCTTTATCTTCTGGCCTTTTAAGTAAGCAAGCAATTAGCGTCTTACACTTCCTCTGTCCTCCAGCTCCTGTATCTGCAGAGACATCTTTGAGCGCGGATAGGCCTCGGACAGCAGGGCCAGCTCCAGCACGTCCCGAACGGCAGCTTCTCGTATACGCTCCTTGACCTGCGGCAGACCTGCCTTCGGCCTATAATTGCACTCCAGATAGCTTCCGTCTATGCTCAGATTCTGTGTCTTCACCTCGATGGGACCCAGCACCGCGGATATGACAACAGTTGCTCCTAAATTAAAGAAACAGAATGTTGTTAGCCGGCTTCTCACACACTAAGCACGCGCTGTACAAACCCTGGCAATACATGACGGAACCGTCGCAGCGCGAGAGGGGATTGAACTTGCACTGCATTTCGCGCAGCTTATCCTTGGCCACTTGCTCAGGTTTGTCGGGTAAATTCATTTTATTTTGTTTTACTTTTTTAAAACAACGTGCGCGTGCGAAGATAATTTGAAAAAGTGTTGGTTAACGTTCACCCAACAGGGATGGAGAAACATCGAATGTCGATATCGATAGATGGATAGAATATGTTAATATCGGAGATATCGATAGTTGGCGCCATGAAATTAGCCCACTAATGGTCGTATTCCAGTACGTTTCAGGTTAAGCAGCCCAGAATATATAAAATAAATAATATATGAAAAGCATGAACTGCGAACGAAATATATTTATGTACATGCAAGTCGTCATTTGGCTTGATAGGATATCTGGTTAGCCCAATCAGAATCCATCCGTAGAACATCGATAGGTAGAGTAATGTAAATCGATTGCCAACGGCCGATAGTTGAAGCCCCAACTAGCCCCAACACCAGCCCCAACCAGATTTTGTCCATTCAGAAAGTAAACGTCGGTGAAAGTATCTCCACTAAAATGTCTGGTAAGTGTTGCTACCCGTAAAGAGTCCTCATGGAGGTCGTCTTGGATCTGATGCTTATATAACTCCCCTTCTGCAGCAGGCGCCAATCCCTTTGCTCAGTTTGAGAAGTCGTTCTCCCAAGCCGGCACCACCTACAAGTACTTCGACTTGGTCTCCATCGACAGTAAATATGGTAAGTAGTTTGACTTTGATCTAATCAAGGCTCAAGTGGGCATGGGCGGGGCTGTTTACGTGATGGAGAGCGGTTCTCTCGAGCTTAAAAAGTAGGCAGAGCTAGATCTAGGGTGGGGGAACAGTGGTAGTCTCCATTCATTTGTCTGTCTGTGTCCTACTTCGGACACCTGTTGAATGTGAAGTTTGACCCCTCACACAGTCTCACGCACACCATCCAATCCCATCTTGCTGGCGCTGGTGCGCACCACATTAATTTGCAAGTCGAAGTAGAGTCAATTTGGAGGTGCTCCGGTAGCCATTGCGAAGGCATTATGTCAGCTTTTAAGGCGGGGAGGAGCGAGCGAAAAGCGAAAGTTTATCAACGGTGATTTGCGTCTAATGGGGCTCGTCTATTCAAAAGCAGACAAACCCACGGCCGCCGTTTCCTATGTTACCGGCAAGCGGTGATAACGAATCGTGCGCCACTCGAGCTTTTGTATTATGTACGTGCCCACTTATCAGCCAAGGGGCAGGAAATCCAGCCAATCTGATGTTGTGAGCTGACTCCGAGGTCGTGGTCCCAAGCTTAGGAGACATCTTCAGAGCAGTGGCATGTTTTTGTTGAGACAGCGCGTGGCTGGATGAGGTAACACATCTCTGGAATTTTTTTGCTCCTATCAGTTCCATGGAGTGCGATGTAAAAGCAATCGTTTGAGGACCACTGTGGCCTCTGATAGCACTGATACGCTATCTCCAGACCGAACCTTTTATTGGAGGTGTGATGACAGTGTAGTTCTGGGTGTACAGTAGTGATTGACCCTCTGCGTTTTGGTTTCCGATTACAGATAATCTGCCGTACTCCATACGTGTGCTGCTAGAGTCGGCGGTACGCAACTGCGACAACTTCCACATCCTCGAGAAGGATGTCCAGAGCATCTTGGGCTGGTCCCCGGCTCTCAAGCAGGGCTCCAATGATGTGGAGGTGTCCTTCAAGCCAGCTCGCGTGATTCTCCAGGTGAGATCATCCGTAATCCTGCCAAGAATATTCATTTATAATGGTCAAATTTGTCTAGGACTTCACCGGTGTACCCGCTGTGGTGGACTTTGCGGCCATGCGCGACGCTGTCCTGGACCTGGGCGGCAATCCCGAGAAAATCAATCCCATCTGCCCCGCCGACTTGGTTATCGACCATTCCGTTCAGGTAGACTTTGCTCGTGTTCCTGACGCCCTCGCCAAGAACCAGACCCTGGAGTTTGAGCGCAACAAGGAGCGCTTTACCTTCTTGAAGTGGGGTGCCAAGGCATTCAACAACATGCTGATCGTGCCGCCCGGCTCTGGCATTGTCCATCAAGTGAACTTGGAGTACTTGGCCCGCGTCGTCTTTGAGAACGATGCTGCCGATGGCTCGAAGATTCTCTATCCCGACAGCGTGGTCGGCACCGACTCCCACACGACCATGATCAATGGCCTGGGCGTGCTCGGCTGGGGTGTGGGCGGCATTGAGGCGGAGGCCGTGATGTTGGGACAGTCGATCTCCATGCTGCTGCCGGAGGTCATTGGCTACAAGCTGGTCGGAAAACTGAGCCCCCTGGTCACCTCTACCGACTTGGTGCTGACCATCACCAAGCATCTGCGTCAGTTGGGCGTGGTGGGCAAGTTCGTGGAGTTCTACGGCCCCGGCGTAGCCGAGCTGAGCATTGCCGATCGCGCCACCATCAGCAACATGTGTCCCGAGTATGGAGCCACCGTTGGCTACTTCCCCATCGATGAAAATACCTTGGGCTACATGAAGCAAACAAGTGCGTAAAGAAGATTTCTATATCGATTGCGTTTTGGCTTATGTTTCCCTATAAATTACAGATCGATCGGAGAAGAAGATCGACATCATTCGGGAGTATCTGAAGGCCACCCAGCAGCTGCGCAACTACGCAGACGAGTCCCAAGATCCCAAGTTCACTCAGGTTAGTAGAAACTACACAAATATCATTGAACTTATCAATTAATCTATATTTTAATCTTCTTTTTCAGAGCATCACCTTGGATCTTTCCACTGTGGTTACATCGGTGTCGGGCCCTAAGCGCCCGCATGATCGCGTTTCTGTATCCGACATGCCGGAGGACTTCAAGTCGTGCCTGTCCAGCCCAGTAAGTGTGATTATTTTCCAGGTTGAATCAGTTTCTTAATGAATTGTACCTCCCTAGGTTGGATTCAAGGGCTTTGCCATCGCACCAGAGGCCCGGGCTGCCTTTGGCGAGTTCCAGTGGGATGATGGCAAGACCTACAAGCTCCAGCACGGATCCGTGGTCATTGCAGCCATAACATCGTGCACAAACACCTCGAACCCCTCGGTGATGCTGGGAGCTGGTCTGTTGGCCAAGAATGCCGTGGAGAAGGGCCTCTCCATCTTGCCCTACATCAAGACATCTCTCTCGCCGGGATCTGGCGTGGTTACCTATTACCTGAAGGAGTCGGGCGTCATTCCGTATCTGGAGAAGCTCGGCTTCGACATTGTCGGCTATGGCTGCATGACCTGCATTGGTAACTCGGGACCCCTGGACGAGAATGTGATGAACACCATCGAGAAGAACAGCCTCGTCTGCGCTGGCGTCCTGTCGGGCAACCGCAACTTCGAGGGTCGCATCCATCCCAACACCAGGGCCAACTACCTGGCCAGTCCCCTGCTGGTGATCGCCTACGCCATTGCTGGACGTGTGGACATTGACTTCGAGAAGGAGCCGCTGGGCGTGGATGCCAATGGCAAGAACGTGTTCCTGCGTGACATCTGGCCAACGCGTACTGAAATCCAGGAGGTCGAGAACAAGCACGTCATCCCGGCCATGTTCCAGGAGGTCTACAGTAAGTACATATTATTAATATTCAATAATTATCTACTCGATATTGAATATACAACCTTTTTTAATCTCCAGGCAAGATTGAGCTGGGATCTCAGGACTGGCAGACCCTTCAAGTGTCCGATGGCAAACTGTTCTCGTGGAGCGATGATTCCACCTACATCAAGCGGCCACCCTTCTTCGAGGGCATGACCCGCGACTTGCCCAAGCAACAGAGCATCCAGAAGGCGCGCTGTCTGCTCTTCCTGGGCGACTCTGTGACCACGGATCACATCTCGCCTGCTGGCTCCATTGCCAGGAATTCGCCGGCCGCTCGATTCCTGTCCGATCGCAGCATCACACCCCGTGACTTCAACTCGTATGGCTCGCGACGTGGCAACGATGCCATCATGTCCCGCGGAACCTTCGCCAACATTCGTCTGGTCAACAAGCTGGTGACCAAGACCGGGCCACGCACCGTGCATATCCCCAGCCAGGAGGAGCTGGACATCTTCGATGCCGCCGAGCGTTATCGCGAGGAGGGCACTCCATTGGTGCTGGTCGTAGGCAAGGACTATGGCAGTGGCAGCTCTCGCGACTGGGCCGCCAAGGGTCCGTTCCTGCTGGGCGTTAAGGCCGTCATTGCGGAGTCGTACGAGCGCATCCATCGCTCCAATTTGGTGGGAATGGGCATTATTCCCCTGCAGTTCTTGCCTGGCCAAAACGCTGAAACTCTGAACTTGAATGGCCGCGAGCTCTACAACATTGCTCTGCCCGAAAGTGGCTTAAAGCCTGGTCAAAAGGTCCAAGTGGAGGTAAGTCACGACCTGTGGGACGTACCTTTTCTATTGTTATATATTAACGTTAATATCCCTTCTCTAAGGCTGACGGCAATGTCTTTGAGACCATTCTGCGTTTCGACACTGAGGTTGACATCACATATTATAGGAACGGCGGCATCCTCAACTACATGATCCGCAAGATGCTCTCCTAAGCGTCCTCTTTTCATTTGTGTTTATTTTTTTATATTCCAATTGCATTTTTACGCTGTAAACTGTAGTAGTCCCCTAAGTCTATAATTTGTGGTGGTCCCTGCCTGGTCAAACTAATCAGAAAATAATAAATTAAGCCTACATTTGGTATCCAATTAAGCTCTGGCGTTGCAGATTCTGAAGAGTACCTAAAAACGTTCTTGTATGATCTAAAGAGAAAAGATATACTATTAATATATCGGATAACGTTGCATACTTATGAAGAGCGATTCAGCAGCTTCCATTGAGTTCCCTGATAACCGTCTGCATCGTACAGAGACGGATATCATATTACGGCTATGGATTTGAGTAACCGAAACAGTTGAATCAATTTCGCTCTTATGAGATAAACAAAGCCCAGTGATGCTCGAAATGTGACAAAACTGAACTTGGTGCATCCCATAAATTGAAACCAAAAGAGGCACACGTTTCGCACGCACCATCACAGAACCGGAAAGGGATTCACTCACTCGAATCGCCCCCGATCTAGGCTGCTTACAAAAGAGCTATCTAAAAGAAACA